AAATTTTTTTAAAAAAAGAATAGATATATAGTTACATTCTCTAAATGAATAGAGGGATTTGTTCTAATAGTGTTTGTAAATAGGATATCATGTCCACATCTTGTACAGCAATTAGCCACTGGGAAGAATGAATGCAATGTGTTAATTATTGAAACTGTCCTACCAATTTGGTTTGAAACTGTCTCATTGCTATTTGTTTCTCAATAAAATTATGGGGAAAAAAATTTAAAAATAAATAAATAAAACCAGGAATAAGGCAAAAGAAAACCCAAAACACTGAATTAAAAGCATTTGGATTTACAATGACATGTTTTCCTGCCATTTCTCAGAAAACCTTTTCCTTTTCTTTTGTAGCTAAACGAACAAATGAGGTGATTGTGGGAAATGACCAGCTCATGGAAATCTGAATTCTGAGCAAGACAAACTCCTTCCTTTTGTCATCCACAACTGCAGATGTTGGCTGGCCCACCTGTTTGACTCTGTATTTATTTTCCAATAAAGGACTTCCACACGTGCCATTTGTGGATCAGTTCCAGGCTCTGCCTCTGTAGGCTCCAGATATACACAGTGTCTGTTCACACATAGTATGATAAAGACCATTCTGAGCAAATAATGTGGAACAGGATAACACAGTGGCCTGCCTCTTGTTCACCAACGTTACCAGGTAGGGAAGCAGCTTTGCAGTGGTAGGAAGCTACGTTCTGACTGGCTGACTGAGTCTAGTCCATAAGGCATTTTCCACCTAAAAATGACCTAGAAGTACTTCAATCCCTGACACTAATCATGTTTTCTATACCCATACCCTTAGCTGCTGGTAATGCCACCCCAAGCATCAGCCTGGGACTTACTGCTCCAGTACCTGTCACACAGACACCCAGCACCTGCCTCTACCCTACCATTCACTGTCATCTTTCCAGCCTAACTCAACTCCTGATCCTTGCAGCCTCTGAGAGTGATCAAGAGGGGAGATCTGTCCAGCCAGCATGCCTGTCCCCACAGATTTTCATGGGGTAGCACATTGAGAGCCATGATCTAAGCCACACCATGCCCTTCTCTGCTTCCTCTTGATCAGGACGTTCAGCCAGGTGAAGAAGACCCAGGAACCAGTGTCATTTTTGAAATTGTTTCTGATTCTTCTCTGCTATATTTTTACCACCCAAATCTTTTTTTTTTTTTGGGGGGGGGTGGTACCAAAGATTAAACTCAGGACCCTGTGCTTGCCAGGCAAGTGCTTATTCTACTGAGTTATCTCCCCAGCCCCTCTGCTGTATTTTTATGTCCTAATTATACAGACACTGCTGCTTCAAATAATTAAAAAATGAGATTTCTATATTCACAGCTCTTTGGAGTCCTATCCACTTTCTGTCTACCACCCCTGCTCCTAAACTTAAGTACTCTGCTCTCTTCTCTCCCTTCCCTGCCTTTATGACCTGCAGGTGTTTGGTGGAAGATAAAAGTGGCTCCGGGGGTGAGATTTCACCTGGAATTATCAAAGTGAAGGTTTCCCTTGATGTCCTCACTGTAGGTGGCAATAATTATAAGGAATGGTTTGAAATACTGGTTTCTGTGCTGGTTCAAAACTCTCAAGGCTCTCAAGTTCTCCTGAGCAGTCTTGCCTGATCTCAGTGTTCTCACTGCCCTTGTGTGAGAGTGAGAGTCAAAGAAGATTCCTCCCCTGGGAGAGCCTCCACCAGCCTTCCGGACAGCTCCAGAGCTCCTCATTCTTCCTACTGATGAGGACAAGGTTCCTAAAAGTGTGCCCTAGTCACCCAGGAGCTGAAATGGTCCAGAAAAGTATTTGAAACAGAACAAAAAAAGAAAGACATGAAAAGAAATAAGTAGAACCAAGGCATGTGAGGATATAGAACTGCAGAGTGCCCAGGATGATCCCCTGTGAAATTGAAAACAAGTTTGTGGGAACCAGTTGGTGCTGGAAATTAGTTCCAGCATGAGTAGAAGACCTGGCCTTTGTAATGTTTTATAGTTCTGACCAAATCTCTCTGACTCTGAGTCTCCTCATCTGCAAAATGAGTTAGGTTGTGTGACTTTTTTTCTTTTACTTTTTTTTTTTTTTTTTTTTTCTTTTGGTGGAACCAAGGATTGAACTCAGGCGCTTGTACTTACCAGCCAAGTGCTTATTCTACTGAGCCATCTCCCCGGCCCTCAGTGACTTTTTTAATTAATTAATTTTATTGGTATATTTTAGATATGCATAAAGACCACATTCATCATTGGGAATTTGTACCTGTACATGGTATGTCTTGGTTCTTTGGTTGTTTAGTTGTTTTGTTTTTGTTGATTTTTTTTTTTTTCTTTTCCTTTCTTGTATAGGAAAAGTGAGTGGCAGCCACAGGTATTGGGCTGACCTGAGCTATCAGAGTCTCTCCAGGTTGCTCTCCCATGCCGTTGTGTTTTGTTTTTTGTTTTTTGTTTTGATTTGTTTTTGGCCTTTTTGAGACAGGGTCTGACTATGCATTTCAGGTGAACCTTGAGCTTGCTTTGTAGCCCAGAGTGATCTTGAACTCGCAAAGATCCTCTTTCCTCAGCCTCCCCAGTGCTGGGATTATAGGCATGCACCAACACACTCTGCGATACAGTATGTCTTGATTCCTCTTTTTTTCCCATTTCCCCTCCTCTCCATTCAACCACTCTTCCTCTCCTTATTTACAAAGCTTTGTTTACATTTTTTCCTTTTTTTTTTTTTTTTTTTTTTTTTTTTCACCTTCCCTCACCCCTTCCTTTCTTGTTTGAACATTTTCTTCCCATTGCCAATTATCTGGCCTGGGGAGATAGCTCAGTAGAATAAGTGCCTACCTGGCAGATACAGGGTCTTGAGTTCAATCCTCAGTATCGAAAAAAAAAAAAAAAAATGTATCTATTATACATTTTGACCCTTATTTACACTTTCAGTTTATCACACCAGAGTAAAAATGTGATATTTACACGTGTGTGTCTGATTAATTTCACCTAAGAGTATGGTCTCAAGGAGCATCCATTTATCTTGAAATGTCTCAAATTATCCTTCTTTATGACTCAGTTGTACTCCATTGTATTAAAAAAATCACATCTTCTATATGCATTCATCAGCTGATGGGCATTTGGGCTGCTTCCAAGATTTATCCATATTACAAACTGTGCTGCTGTAAACATGGGTATACATATTTGGCTGTCTTATGACATTTTTTAATTTATTTTATTTATTTATTTATTTTTGCAGGACTAGGGATTGAACTCAGGCCCTGCGCTTGCCAGGCAAGTGCTTATTCTACTGAGCTATCTCTCCAGCCCCTAACATTTTTTAATTCTTTGGGGAAGATATCCAGAAGGGGAATAGCTGGGTCAAATGGAGCCTCTAGATTTAGTTTTTTTGAGAAATCCCAACACTGATTTCCACAGTGGTTGTATCAGTCTATACTCCCACCAAGCTGGGGAGATAGCTCAGTGGCATAGGTGCCTGCCTGGTAAGCACAAAGTCCTGAATTTAATGCCTGATATATATAAAAAAAAAAAAGGAAAGAAAATTTATTCCCACCAAAAGTAGAATAGGGTTCCTTTTTCCTCACAGGTCTGCTGGCATTTAGGTTTTTTGTTGTTTGGCGGGTTGGTGGTTTTTGTTGTTCTTGTTTTGTTACAGTTCAGTTCAGCTGGGTTAGGTTTTGAGACAGGGATTCTCTGTGTAGTTCAGTCTTCAACTCACTGTGTAGCCCAGGCTGGCCTCAAACTGTCCACAATCCTCCCACCTCAGCCTCCCAAGTGTTAGAATCACAAGCATCACCCACCTCCAGCTGGGTGACCTTCAGAGGCTCTTTCCATTCTCAGGTTTTAGACCCTTTCTTACACAGCTTTCTGGCCATTAAGGTCTGAGTGGCCTGGAAAGTCTATAAAGATTGCTCCTTAACTTCAGAAGGCAGGTGGAGCTGGGCAGCCTGGAGGGAAAGTGGGATAGAGGGGAATATGGATTGATGGAACTGCCCCAGAGCTGTCCCCAACCCTTCCTGTCCTCCACTGAGCCCTCCCAACGCTGACAGTGAAGTAGAAGGATGCCTTCCCACTGCACAAGTGCATTAGTCAGCCCTGCACAGCAAAGGTAAGGCCTCCCCAGAAGGCCTTACTGACCTGAGTTCCAGCTGGGTGCAAGACACTGCTTCCATTCTAACAATGCTAGGATTGGCTGGGTGCCCAAGATGCTTTGATTTTTCTTTTTATTCCATTTGTCTGCCAGTAGCAGCTACAGAAAGCGTATGTCTAAAATGTAGTGGGCAACTGAATGTTCTCTGGCCAGCTCAGCAGGCAGAAGAGTGGATGTCAATCTGCCCTCCCGCTCAGCACTGCTTAGTGAAGGAAGAATCAAGGAGGCCTTCATCACTGAATCGGAGGATTGAGAAGGTTCTGAGGAACAGGGAGTTGAAAGTTGGCCAAGTTAGATAAAATCTGATGGCTGTTCCTCCAGGAACCCCTCAGCAGCTAAGCCCTGCCTGCTGGCAGAAACTCCCTCAGTAAGAGGGCTGGCTGCCAGGACTGCCCTGCCAGCTTTGTCCTAGGGCCACGAGCTGAACTTCTTTCCAGGCCTTCACTGTACTCCATCTTTGGGGAGGGAGGGAAACTGTTTAGTGTAGCTCCAAGAGCTGCAGCGTGAGGTGCTGCTAGCCTAGTTTATGAGCAGTTTCTGTTTCCAGAGATTGCAGGAGGTGTATTTTTATCTATCCACAACTATCCTTACCACTATGGAGGTACATAAGCCAGGCCTTTGTAGGCTGCCTGCTTGCTTACTTGCTTGCTTTTCGAGGCAGGGTCTCTGTGTAGTTCAGGGTAGCATGTAGCCCAGGCTGGCCTCAAACTTAGGACACTCCAGCCTCCCAAGTACTAGAATTACAGGAATGCACCATCACACCTAGCTTGCACGTTGTTTTCTAAAACAGATGTGAGCCACTGCCCCATGATTACAGCAATCGGAAAGCTGAAACAGGAGCATTACTTGAGCTTAGACGTTCCAGAACAGCCTAGGCAACATAGCAAAGCCCCTATGTTAAAAAGAGAAAACAAAAGCTAAATAGTTAAAATAACTGAGAGAAGGGGAGGGAAAATGGGAAGAACTACCTAAAGGTTTAAAAGCTTAGCTATTAAGGAGTTGACCTGGAGAAAAAGAGGCTAGGGGAGAACAAAATTATTTTGGAGACCAGGAAGATCTATCCTTGGCCTGAGCTGTCTTCCAGGGTGATTGCATCAGTGTTTTGGTTTTTGGGGGGGAGTTTTTTTTGTTTGGTTGGTTGGTTGGTTGATTTTTTTGACAGGGCTTTACTCGGTAGTTCTAGGTTGGCTTTTTTTCTTTTGTATTTTAGGGAAGGATCTACAGGTGTTTAGGGTCTCACTACTAGATCAGACTCATAGTGCTCCACCTGTTTACAGCCTCCCAAAAGCTGGGATTACAGGTGCGGGCCACCAAGCCCAGTCTCAGTTGCTGTCTCAGTGTGCCCCTGGGGGCGGGGCCGGCACAGCAGGCCTGCTTGCAGGCGCTTTAATCCGCTGAGCTATTTAGCTGGCCCCTGTAGGCTGGCTTTGAACTCACTATGTAGCCCAGCCTCATGTTGCAGTGTTCTTTCTGCTATAGAAAATGGCAGGTGTTTTGGTTCCTCTGCTTGCTTCTTCCTCACACTCAAGGTGAAGGACCATTTGCTAATCTCTGTCTGCAGCCTGTAGCACTGGGACTTCGTAGATATTGTTCACCTAAAGCTTCCTGCAGAGGAGATAAATTCTCAGGCTGGATCCTAACTAATGGCTGGAGTTGAGGCTGCTTAGAGCTGCTGCTTTCCTCCACCACGTATTGCTGGCCCAGAAACAGGAGCCCGCCCAAAGCAGTTCATGAGGAGCCTGAGAGCATGCCAGAAATAGGCCACCCTGCTCCCTCTAACCCCCTGGGTGTTGGGGACCACAAATGCAAAATGACTAATTTTACGTACTCCCCTAAAGGATAAGTGGAGGTTTGGGATTATTGGTATCACCTTTTGACATTTTTATTTACATATTTTTGGTACCAGGAATCAAACTCAGGGCCTCCTGCTTGCCAGGCAGATGCTATGCCACTGAGCCGTATCCCCAGCCCTTCCCATTAATCCTTCTCCCACCCACTAAGACTAACCAAAATCACTAAGATTTAAAAAACTCTCCAAGGCAAAATCCTCCTTAGCATGGGATCACCTCCGCCCTCATGAGTCATCCCAAGATGACTTATCCCTTGAGTCGTGGAACTCTTAATTGTATCCGCCAATAAATACTGGCTGGCTTGAAGTTTCTTGGTCTCTGCCTGACCTGAATCATTGACCTTCTAGTCGCCCTTTATGCATTGTTAAATTTGCTTTTTATTTTATCCTTTTGCTCTATCCTTCATACAGGTAGTTGGGGATCTTGGCCAGGTCCTCAATACTAGGGACCCTCCACTTTCCCTAACACTGTGAAATTATGACTTGCCCAAGATCTCACAATCTCACACAACCAGTAAGTGAAAGACACAGACCTCGAAACATGCCTTTTTTTGTTGTTGTTTGACTTGGGTTTATTTATTTTTAATTTTTTTATTTTGTACGGGGTCTCATATGTAGCTCAGACTTGGCAGTGATTCTCCTGTTTCAGCCTCCCCATCGCTGAGATTACAGGGGCGCATCTCTATGCCTGATTCCAATGGCCGGCTCATCGAGGTGCCAGGATGGCATTCAGTACTGGGGATCAAACCCAGGCTCTTGTGCTTGCCAGGCAGGCGCTTAGACCACCGAAATATCTTCCCAGCCCTGTTTTGTTTTGTTTTTGAGACAAGGTTTCACTATGTGGTGTAGGCTGGTCTTGAACTCACTATGTAACCTAGGCTGGCTTCAAACTCACATTGATCCTCCAGCCTCAGTCTCCTGACTGCTGAGAGTACAGGTGTATACCACCATGTCTGATGCACCATTTAGATTTGGCTGGTGTTCAACTCACAGTGTAGCCCAGGCTATCTTCCTGCCTTCCAAATCTTGGGATGTGCTTGCCATATGCTTCTTCTAGACCACCTTCTTTTAGACTCTCCTCTCAACTTCCCAATCCATTTCTCCTCTTCTGGAAATCTCCCTGAGTACCCCCAGTAGTTGTTCCTAATAGGTTATGTCCCAAGTACAAACTACTAACTTATGGCCTTGATCCAACATGCCTGAATCCCCAAAACAACAGCTTATCTTCCCAATGACCTCCTCCTTCTTCTTCACTTCAGCCCTGGATACAAGTTCCTTTCACCTTTCCTGCCCACACAAGGGAACCTCCAGTCAGCTCCTTGTGTGTCACTGAATGTGCCCCTCAAACTCCTCCCCTTTGGGCCAGGGAAATGGCTCAGTAGAATAAGCGCTTGCCTGGCAAGCGCAAGGGCCTGAGTTCAATCCCCGGTTCCGCAAAAAAAAAAAAAAAAAAAAAAAAAAAAAAAAAAAAAAAAAAAAAAAATTCCCCTAGCGAAAGCCCATAAACTCTTGTCCTCCCTGTTTCAGGTCAGAAGATCTGCCCATCTCCCTGCCCTTGATCCTCTCTATGTCTCCAGAGTTAATAGCCACCCCCCATTTCTGCTCTGCCACACTGACATCGCTGCTGCCAATAAAACCTGACAATTTCTCGTGTTCTCTATGCTTCCCTAAGGCTATGAGCTTCTAAAAGAACATACCCTACAACCACAGCTCAGCAAGGACATAAAAGACCCCAAGACTTGTTTGACTTATAAATCAGTAAATTAATCCTTGACAGTAGTAAATTTAATTAGATTGCCTTTCTCCTTTCTTATTCTTTGGAAAATATCTCTAATTTGAACCCAAATACATCCCCTCATCCAGTGCAAGCGATTAATGAAACAAGTCATTCAGCAGGAAGCAGGCAGCTTGCAGGAAGAAAAAGAGGAGCCTCTTTTCCCCTTCCTTTTAATTCCACGGAGTCAGTGGCTTTAGCTCTGGCTGACCTCAGCTGCACTCAGGAAATCATTTTGTTGAGGGAAAGAAAGGTCACTGGGGACTTTAAGTAGCCAGAAAGCACTAAGCACTAAGTTAGGAAGGCTGGGAACTCCATTTCTCCCACATGGTCTAATTGGCAATAGGTTCTCCCAGTAGGCAGGACTTGGCTGGGTGTGGTGGAGCAAGCCCAGGATCCCAGCACTCAGGATCGCCAGGCCAGCCTGAGCTACAAATAGAGACCCTGTCTCCAAAAAAAGAAACAAAAGATCATCTCAAGAGCTGCATAAGGCAAAGCAACTCTATTCTGAGTTATAATACCTAGTGCTGATAGTAGGCTTTTCTCTGCCTTTCATTGTAGCCCCAAGAACAGTGCAGGGGGCCGTACAACCTAGGTTAGAGAGAACCTGTTTAGATTTCCAGAGATGTGTCAGGGGTACACTTTCTTTATCCAAAGTGCAAGCACACCTCTGTCAGGGAGGAAGACAGCACATAGACTGTAGTTACCGCTTGGCCAGCAGTGCGGGTGCCATGCTAATCCACGGCACCTTGCAGGATGAGTGGGCAAGTGAAGGGGGGCAAAGCTGCTCAGTGTTCCCCACCTTAGCCTGCAGGTTCGCTTTCCAGGACCCTAAAGATGAGGTGAATTCACACATGTTTTCAAAGAGTGGTATAGGAGCAGTGTGGAACAAGACCATTGAAAGTTCATGTTTTTTGACCCAAATAACCCCATTTCTGGGAATCCATCCTAAGAACATTCTGCAAATGATTGATAGACTATAAAGAAACACAAAATATTTATAATGCAGTGATAAGTCTGGAAGAACTGACCAAGAAGCTGGCCAGAGATAATAGTAGCTGTGTTAGAATAATGATTTTATTGCAGATTCTTTGTCTCTTTCATAAACTTTACTTGGGAGGTCACAAGTTCAAGGCTAACATGGGCTACATAGTGAGTTCAAGGCCAGTCTGAACTATATAGCAAGACCTTGTCTCAAAAAAAGGGGAGGGGCGGGGAGATGGCTCAGTGGAATAAGCACTTGCCTGGCAAGCGCAAGGGACTGAGTTAAATCCCCAGTTCCACCAAAAAAAAAAAAAAAAAAAAAAAAATCACATACAGGAACACTGATTTTTTTTTATCCTTCTCAGGCACCTCAAGGTTTATCAATCACCTAGGACTTGGGAGGCTGTAAGCAGGAGAATCATGAGTCTGATCTAGTAGTGAGACCCTGAACACCCTGTAGATCCTTCCCTAAAAACACACACAAAAAAGATTTATCAATCAAGAACCTGACAGACACAACACAACCCAAATGGGATAGTTTCATGGAGGAGCCAGATCTAGTGACACACACAGTAATCCCTGGAAGCTGAGGCCCAAGGATGGAAAGTTTATACCCAGCCTGGCAATTTATCAAATTAGTGCCACTTTTCTTATTGAGAGAGAGAGAGAAAGACAGAAAGAGAGGAGAGAGAGAGAGAGAGAGAGAGAGAGAGAGAGAGAGAGAGAGAGAGAGAGAGAGAGCTCAGTGTGAAAGCCTTGGGTTAAATTCCCAGTAGAAGACATAAAAGGCAAATGGAGGAGGGGGGAATGAAGTTAGCGTCATAGAGGAACTACTCCCTCTCTCTTCTTCCTGTTTCTAGTGCTTTGTAGCTGATGTCAACTCTAAATAATCATTGAGTACCTGCTTACTGTCCATTAAAGAAATCAGATTTTCAAGTACTGTACAAAAGTTATTTCATCATAAATGCAATAATGCATATATAAATTGAGTATAAGGACCACAAAAAAGAAACAATGATCAGGAAGGCAGTGTAAATCATGGAAGCCTTCAAAGAGAAGGTGATTAATTTAAGTTCAGATTTGAAGGGTACATGCAAAGACAACAGACAGGGACACGTGGGACAAGATGGTATGTTTAGAAAATGTACATTTTGTATCTGTGTATTCAAAGTGGTTAGGATAGATATATAGTTACATTCTCTTAATGAATAGAATGATTTGTTCTAATGGTGTTTGTAAATCATGTCCGCATCTTGTACAGCAATCAACCACTAAGAAGAATAAATGCAGTGTGTTATTTGTTGAATCTGTACTTCCGATTTGATTTGAAACTGTCTCATTGCTATCTGTTTACCAATAAAATTTTGGAAAAAAAAAAAAAAAAGAAAAGAAAAGAAAATGTAGGTGGCTTTTCAGGCTGGAAGAACCCTGGGTGGGTGTGGGGAGCCTCTGGGAGAGAAACCTTTAATCAGACCATTGAGGGCCGTAGTTTGTGCTTCGAAGCTGTCATCAGATTTGCATTTTAGGGAGATGACCAGGCCTCCCTAGAGAGTGAAGTGAAGGGGGCAAAAGTGGCGCTCATGGAATTGTTTCTAAATAAAAAGAATAGTGCTCAGGAAAAGTGAAAAGTAGTCTGGCTCTGGGCTGGGTCTCGAAGAGAGCGTATCCTATCAGGGCCGGCCGACGCCCGTTCCCAGCACAGTCTCGGTGCTGGGCCAGCGCTGAGCTCGGGTCCCCTCCCTCGCCTCCCCGGCGGGAGGCGGCTCTGCCTGGGTGGTCTCCGGCCCCGCCCCCTGCGGCGCCGTTACTTAGCAGTGGGTTCAGCGGCGCAGCCAATGGGAGGGCGACTCCCCAGCCTGCTCGCTTTTTCTGGGGCTCCGGCCGCCTTCCTCGACCCTGCAGTCACACCTGGAGCTGCGAGGTTCCTCGCCGGTGGCCGCTTTGCTTGCACGCAGAGCCCGCCGTGGCCGCAGCCCATCGCCCAAAACCTGAGGAGCCCGGCGAAGCGCACCGTCTTTGGGGCACCGAGGAGACCAGGCTAGCCTATGAGAGAGCCCAGATAACGCAGGTTGTGGGTACTCGCGCCCCCTATCCCGCCAGCATGGCCGGGCCGCTGCCCCTCAGAGAGCTTCCACCCGAGTACGTCCACCCAGCTCCAACCACAGCGTCTCAGGTGAGCAGAGAGGAAGCTGGGGAAAAGAAGAGTGACAGTTTCTGCGCACTGTTCCAGTGACCCCTGGCTGACCATTCTTTTTCCACCCCAGATCCCAACCGGGAACCTGAAGGCTCCGCTCTGGCTTCGTGCTTACTTCCAGGGTCTGCTCTTCTCTCTGGGCTGTAGCATCCAGAAACACTGTGGCAAAGTACTCTTCCTGGGACTGTTGGCCTTTGGGGCTCTGGCGCTGGGTCTCCGTGTGGCCGTTATTGAGACAGACCTGGAACACCTCTGGGTAGAAGGTGAGTTACCAGCATTGCCCACAGCTACTCGGGTATGTTAAGACCAAGAGGAGACCAGCATGAGCAGCTGTCCACTGAGCCCCAGCAGGCTTGGCCACGTGTTTGCTGGCTAAAGCTTGTACTCTTGGGCAGAAGCACCCACCCTGCCACTCCCATAAATAGGTGCCTAAGGTGGTAGCACCCTGCAAATATATATATATATATATATATATATATTTATCTCATTATGTGTATGTTTATTTAGTACCCTTGCCAACCTTCTGTGTGTACCTTTTACAATGCAATAGGGTTACAAAGGCAAGACCCATGTTTTAGTAGTAAGGAACGTAAATATGTGCTAGGATAGGTATAATATAATACAAAACAATATGATTGTGTTCTTTTTGTGTGTGTGTGTGATACAGGAGATTGAACTCAGGGCCTTGTGCTTGCCAGGCAAGAGCTTACTTTTCTGAGCTATCTCCCCAGCCATGATTATGTTCTAAAGGCCGGCGAGGGCTGGTGAGATGGCTCAGTGGTCTAAAGCACCTACTTAGAACAAGCTAAGCTCAAGCAAAGCACAGAGACCACGGTTCAATCCCCCAGCACCACATGCTGGCCTGCCCGCCCCCTGGTGGGCTGAGCTGGCCACACACTAAATAAATAAATAAATAAATAAATAAATAAATAAATAAATATCTAAAGGCCAGTGAGATAGCTCAGCGGACTAAGCACCTGCTTAGGCAAGTGCAGGGTCCAGAGTTCGATCCCCAGCAGCACAAGCCATGCCAGCCCCGCCCCCAGACACTCTGAACCTACTGATCCTGGCATGGTAGTGCATGCCTGTAATTCCAGCACTGGGGAGACTGAGAGAGCCTGTATCCAATACATAAAAAAAGAAAAACAATATGATTATGTTCTATAAGAGGACAAGGTGATAGCCACGTGTGGGAGTGCACACCTATAATCCTAGCACTCACTTAGGAGACTGGGGCAGGAGTTTTGTTGAAAGTTGGAGGCCAACCCCAGATACACAGTAAATTCAAGGATAGCCTGAACTACATAGTGAGACCCTGCCTCAAAGAAAGGGGGGAGGGCTGGTGAGATGGCTCAGTGGTCTAAAGCACCTACTTAGAACAAGCTTAGCAAAGCAGAGGGACTGCGGTTCAATCCCCCAGCACCACATGCCAGCCAGCCCCGCCCCGCTGAGCTGGCCACACACACACACACACACACACACAAATAAATAAATAAATTTTTTTAAAAAAGAAAGAGGGGAAATGCAGAGCGAGATCATCTCTGACCTAGAGAATTAAAAAGTTGGCTCATGCTTCCAACTCATGAGTCTGAGGCAGGAGGATCACTTAGGCCCAAGAACTGAAGGCCAGCCTAAGGAAGAAAGGAGACCCTGCCTCTAAAAGAAAGAAAGTTAGGACTAGAAAGCTAGGAAAACTGACTAATCTGGCCAGGTCTCAGGAAGGGAACTCATATACCTAAACCCCTGCACCATTTAGCATAGAAGTACTACGAACTGTGCACTTGTGGGGCACCCAGGGTTGGGTGGGATTAAATCCTTACTTCCTAATGGAAGCATTAGTTCAAAATTATTTTTTATCAATAATTTCAGTGCAGCTGGCTTCTTTCCTGAGGTTTGGTTTCATATGGCAGCTCTTTGACAGAGTCAAACTCGGTTCTGTTCTGTCCCTGGGAAATTTACATTTGTAGGCTCCCCAGACCTCCCCCAGATCTGGCCCATACCCAGAGGCAGGGCCCAGGTTGGAGTCCCACACACTTAGTTGTTTCAAATCCTGGCGAGTACTAGGATCCAGAACAGATGTGCCTGGGAGCCGGCCTGCCTGTTGGGCTCCCATGTGCCATCCCCACCCGCCCCCAGCCCTCTGCAGCCGCTCCTGTGTTCACACTCTGGGCAAGCCCCAGAGTCCAGAGCAGATGTTTCCCTGCCTGCCTGCCTACTCACAGCCCCAGGACACACACGTGCATACATGCAGACAGCACCCCCCACCCACACCGCTGCTCCTGGGTGGTCCCAGGATTTTGAATTTCCTGCCACAAAAAAGGCCATCTCCCTTCCCTTCTGTTCTCCATTCCCCAGATCTTCCCCCTCTAAACAGTGTTTGGACTTCTGAGATTCTGCAGCCTCTGTCCTGCACTCTAATCCAGAAAGAGATAG